AAAAGTGTACCAGCACTATGAAGGGGTTACTGGGGAACGCGCAGCATTGACTACCGGGTACATGCAGAGCTTTCCCAAACGCCCGAATTCAACCAATATAGGGGCTTAAGACTTAGAGTCGGGTTTGGGTGGTATATTATTCTATAAGCAAAATAAGGAACTCCCACAACCCGAATTTAATGGGTTTGGGGGCATAGTATACTATAACTTCAATTTGGAGCCCCCAAGACCCTATTTTAATTATCAGGGTTCCTTTAAACTTTAGTGTAATATACCCCCAAAACTCGTTTAATTAAAGTAAAAAAACATCCAAAACCCCCAACTCTACGTATTATGGCCCTACATTCATGGCTGAAGCCTGGCTTCTCGGATTTTCCACACCTCGGCCTCCCAAAACTTGAATCCACGAGTGACATAAGGGCCTAAGTAAGTACTTATGCCATTTATTTTAGTAGAACATACCCCCAAACCCTATTCTAGTTATTCAGTACCGATACCATTTTGGGGAGTTCTAATAGAATATTCCTCAAAACCCTATTCTAATTATTAGGCCCTTACATTAACATGTCTTGCTTGCATTCTTTTGGACAGCGGGTCACCCCCCAACATACTCATTGGTACGACATCATGCAACAGGTCGGTCCTTTGATACTTGCGGCAGTGATGACGATGACAGCAACGAACAATTGGAGGAGGATTAGGGTTGAGGGTTGAGGTGTAGACGCGACCAGCACATGCACGCATACTGGGGAAGGGTGTTGTGATCATGCTCAGCTAAACCGTATTCGACCCTAATCGAACCCTCAACCTCATCATATCACAAGGGTCGACATACTGCATATACAATCCCCTTCTATTCCCTTTGCCGTTATAAACCGGCATGCCGAAACCCTATTTCTCCCTATCATTTTTCAAACCTGTGTATTATCTTCATTCACCCTAAAGCACATGCCCGGAGGATTCTTGCCAGTTCCTTTCCGTAGCTTCGAGACTTGCCGAAGGCAAGTGGATGTTCCGAGAGCCCACGTGGGCCAGCTCGAAAAAATCCTGAACCCTAAACCCGTAACCCTAAACCCCCCTGAACAACCCTTGACCTTAAACCCTAAACCCTGAATCCTAAAAAAAGGGGAGAAGAACGGAGTATCGGATTAGGACTTGGGTAGGATTGATACTTCGTTCTTCGGGCCTTTTGTAGGTTTCTGGGTTCAGGGCTTAGGGAGAGTTTCAGGTTGTGCCTGGCACCCTAAACCTTGAACTTGGCTTTCCCTCCGCTTCGTCCAACCACCTTCCTGTGCCAGCTACGGGATGGTCACTTCTTTTCGTATCTTCAGCGACTACGTTTGTGAGTCTTTAGTACCCTCTTGTTTTTTCTACTTTGGGGTTTCCCTCTTAACGCCCGAATGCGACGGTTGATGATATAAATCCTGCATTAACCATAATAAGCAATATACCATAATTCCCAGAGTTTAGGGTCCTTAACGGTAATGCAGGATTTGTATCACCAAGCGTAGGAACCAGGGTACCCTTATTGTTAAGGCGTCACTCAGGAACCTCGGAAGTCAGGTGCCGGAGTGAGGAGTTTTGGTTCTGAGGCTTAGGGTATCCTCTGCCCCCAGAGAACCCAATACCCCATTAATTGAGGAATATACCTTTAAGGGCTCCTTTAAAGGGATCTATAAGGGTCTCTATAAGAGTACTATAAGAATTGAGGAATATACCTTAAACTTAAACTATAGGGGCCTTAATANNTAGTTTAAGGTATATTCTTTGATTAAAGGGGTATTGGGTTCTCTTGGTCTTCGCAACAAGGAGCCCCTTGACCCTAAACCAGAAGCCTTACCCCACGTTCATAGAGCGTCAAGGTTTAGGGTCAGGGCTTACGGCCAAGCAGCAGCGACGAGGAAGTGATCCTGATGAGGCTTTGTGCCCCTAACCCTCAACCCCAAGCCCTGAACCAAAAAAGCCCTAAACCCCGAGCCTGAAATCCTCATTTCTCAATCTCAACCCTAAATCCATTAGGCGGCCGCAACTGACCGAGTTCTCACCCTAAACCCGAACGAAATCTTGCACCAAAAACCCCACAACCTTCCATGCACTCGGCTCGTACTTCTCTGCAACTCAGAAGTAGCCAAACCAAAACAACAAGGCAGATCTTCACGTGCTATGGAGCCTTTAGTAGAAAAAGGCCTGAAACCTAGGACCCTTATGTCCCGGGTGACAAGCAAACTCAAAGCCACAAGAACCATTCCTCAAAGCTCCCAACCCACGCAATCAAACGTCTATCTATATTGGTAGTGCGTTCCTTTTGGGGCAGGGTCGAGTTTCTGTTGCAAAGAATGTCCAGATAGTATATGAGCAATCTTTCTTGAGGTTGAAACAGCTTACCAACACCAACTGGGTTATGTCTGAGCCTAAGCCCTAAACCCTAAACCCTAATCCCTAAACCCTAAATCCTAAACCCTAAACCCTAAACCCTAAACCCTAAACCCTAATCCTATTAAGGGTCCCTAGGCTTTACTGAAGCCTGAGAATGCCCAGG